AATAGCACAGCAAACCTTTGTGTGCTCATTAAAATATCATTACTGGTCGTATTTTCAACGAGAGCCGTGTTAGTGAATATGTTTTGTCGTTTTCAGAATCCTGCCTTGGTACTTTGTGGTACGGTAATTCAAATATCTGGTTTTAATTCACTTATTTTTGGTTTCAGTAGCTGCAGAGGTACCTAAAGAAGCTATGTAGACCCAGGTGGGAGAAGCTCGTAGGCGGGAGGGCTCATGAAATTGTGATGCTCATTTTTCAATCCCATCCGTGTGCTATGCAAAGGTTTTTGTTGAAATTCAGCTAGTAAATTTTCATTTCTCATGATGTCAGTCCCTCGTTCTTGCATCGTAGCTGAAAGGTGTTGCATTTCAATATTTTTAACAAATGGGTTCAAAGCCCGCTGAAATTCTTCATTTGAAAGACATTTAAAAGACTAGAAAAATCCGTTTCCAAGTTTTTGAAGTGTGCAGATATGAGTTTTTATAAATTGAATTACAGCATTTTCGGCCACAAATCATTAATCATGGAGACCTTTCCAAACATCCATTTTCAAAAATGCCTCTCCAGTGGTACAAGTTTTTTTTCTTTTTTTTTTTTTCCTTTTGGAAAGCATTGCTTTCTCATTCATCGTTAAAATGTCGTCTTTACCTTGAGGGAACAAATTAAGCATATGTATTTTTCCTGAAAATGTCTGTCGGATGCCATATGCTTTCCATAGTCACCTGGCACCCAAGAATAGGCCATCAAAGTTTGAACTTTAAAAAAATAATACTGCGCCATTTCATTTAAATCTGCAACTCTTCTTAAGTTCTTGGACGTGAGCTAACCAGGGAACTGCTGGGTTTCCCAGAAGATTTAGGTCGCTGCCCATCTCATTCCAGAAGTTTGGTAAAGATATGAGTGCATTTTAAAGATCCTGTGTCTTCACAGTTGATGTCCTCAAGCCCTTGGTGGCCTTTGCTACGGTCACGTGCCAGGAACGATGCAATAAATGAATTTCACCATGCAGCTGTCTCTCTTAACTTAGCCCCCAACCCTTGTTTTTATTCCCGGCAAAGTTTACCATTCCATCAAGAGCCACGTTCAGTTTCCTCCTGAAACAGAGTTTTCATTTAGGAAGTCATTTACTTCAGAGTATGAATTTCCTGTAAATCTTTGGTTAATTGACTCCCCCCCCCCAAAACAGTACCGTATGCGTGTCATTATGGAGATGGAATCTAGCAAATGCCGCAAACCGAACCATGCTGAGGAACCCGCACCCCAGAGCACGGCCAGCCTCCAGCCGCGCACATCTTCCTCAGGTGTCCCTCTTCAGATTGTCACCGGCATTTCCAGTGCATTTGCCAAGGGTATTTGCTCACAGAGAAGTGAGTTTATTTAACTTGTGTGCAGATTGTTTTGCGTGTGGTAGTTCAGTTCGTTTTGCTACGTTCAAAAGCACAAGGGTGTCTCCAACAGGGCTTACTACCTTTCGCTACTGGTAAGAGAGCTTAAAAGAGAATCAGAATGTTTGTTATTTGGTTCAGGGAAAATCTGGAGGGCACTTGGATCGTGTCTAGTATGATGTTAGTTATCGCTGGAAACATTGCCGGAATTCATCTTCAGTTTCTGGAATGTTCCAGAACATTCTGGAACTAGTGTTCCAGAACACTAGTTCCCCTGTGGAGCTAGTGATGGTCGCCTGCTATGGCTAGCTAAAAGCTCAGGGCACACTGTATGCTTGGGGTCAGGGTCACTGTTGTGATAGTGGGTATGCGCTCACATACTTCAGTTCTCTTCTCGGTGATTCCTTTTCTTGTTAGCGGCTCCGTGTCAGATTGTCACTGCTTTATCTCATGTTGTGGCTGAAGACAAGCTCCCATCGGCGGGGGGGGGGGGGGGAAGAGTGTCAGCTGTGCCCTGTTTGGGTGCTAGCTTGTGTCCACCCTACTCCCGTCACCCTCAGTGCCCACGTTCTTTGCAGAAAACCTTGAAGCCTCTCACCTGTTTGATGGAGGCCGATTTTGTTAAAGCTCCGCCCTCCAATTGGTGCAGCCACTCGTGGACATGTGTAAACCGTGTGTTCCGCGCTGGGCTGTGGTCCCCCCCCCCCCCCCCCCCCCGGCAGAGTGGGTCCCTGGTGCATCCTCTGAGCTGCGGGAGTGCTGGGCTTACTTGGGCCACTGGACTTTTTTATTGTGTTTGATTTACTTTTCTTTTTTTTACCATATGTGACATCTCCCCCAGTGGGATGCCATCGTTAGGGCGTGCATTACATGTGGTTAGATTCAACATCCTTATGTTTTCAGATCAGTAAGCATTACTGTAACAAGTTGGAGTGTAGGCTTGTAATCTTTCCTCTGCAGTTCTGAGACGCAAAGGAGAGATGGCATCCGAACCCACAGAACGTACCCCACCACGAGTGACCCCTGATGTAAACTGTGGACATTGGGTGATAATGGCATTCAATGTAGGGTCACCGATTATTGCAGATGTGGGGGAGGCTGTGCGTGTGCGCAGACAGGGGATACGGGGAAAGTGTCTGTTCCTTCCTCTCAGCTTTGCTGTGAACCTAAAACTTCTCTAAAAAATAAAATCTTTATATTTTTGTATCTTTTAAGAATGATTTTTTTTAAAGGTGGTAAAATCTAAACCCTATCTGAACATAAGGCCATTTACGGTGTGCATTTATCCCATTTAGTGGGACTGTGGGGTTTTTTTTGGTTTTTTTTTTAATTTTTTTTTTCAACGTTTATTTATTTTTGGGACAGAGAGAGACAGAGCATGAACGGGGGAAGGGCAGAGAGAGAGGGAGACACAGAATCGGAAACAGGCTCCAGGCTCCGAGCCATCAGCCCAGAGCCCGACGCGGGGCTCGAACTCACGGACCGCGAGATCGTGACCTGGCTGAAGTCGGACGCTCAACCGACTGCGCCACCCAGGCGCCCCAGTATATTTCAGCTCAAGGTTAGGAGGGTTAACTTAGAAGTAAGCAAGGTGGGGGAGAAACCAACTCAGTTGGTAGGGGTCCTGTCATCCCAGACCCTGTGCTGAGGGGTATAGATTTCCCCTGTGGAGCTAGTGAACCCGTTTGAACAGGGGAGGGATGAGAGTTTGTCTAAAAATGCTCCCCCCATGGGGTCTCCCCCGCCTCAGCAGCTCCTTATGTGGCATCTCTGTGTGGATGATGGAGTGGCCTCTGTGCGACCACTTCTGGGACATTACTGGGTTCAGGTAGAAATTAATTTATTTGGTGTGGCTCACAACGTGTAACTTCCACTCGTTTTAAAACCTGGTATTTTAGGGCGCTCGGCACAACCTCAGCGTGCCCTTTTTTTGGGAAGTGGGTGCAGGGTACTTCTGTTTAATTCCTCCTGCATTCGCAGAGCCTGGTTGTCTTATTATTCTTAACTATTATTAAGAGGAATGATAAAAAGTAATTAACCATCTGGAACAGATTCATGCTTCCCATTCGTCAGGGCCTCCATTATAAAACCTCCCCAAAGTTCAGCCTTGGAAATAAATTCTCCAAGTAGGTGGATTAGCTAATGAATTTTTCTTCTCCAAAGGCGAGCGTGTTTTCCCGCACAGCCAGTACGTCTCTGCCCATTTATCAAAGGGGGAAAAAGTAGAAGTGAAAATGGAAACAACTTATCAATATAATTTACTGTGCCAAAGTTATAGATTTGATATGGTTTTTATAAGGCTTCTGCACTAGACTTTCCCACTAATGTTTATGGATTTAGTGCGGCTAGTAACGTTGGCTTATTCAGCCAGTGCTCCCTTTGGGGTCTCTGGAAAACAGCCCTCGTCCTTGCAGTCCACGATGGGAAAGCTAAGAATGGATGTGAAGCGGGAAAGCACCAAGAGGAGAATGTCAGGGGCCTCAGCCTGTCTTGTCTGGGTCCCACTGTGAATCTTAGGGGTACTCGGAATTTGCCCCAAAGGGAATCATGTTGTCGTAGGTAAGGTGTGCGTCCTGCTTGCGTTCCATGAATCACTCTCTAGACCCACCGCATCCTGGGCATGGAGAGGCCGTCTGACTCCCCCGAAGACCCGTGTGACACAGTGGCCCAACCGTGTTGGACTGCCACACTGGCTGTCTGTACACATGAACCCAGATTGTCGCTTCCTTCTGCTACTTCCCTGGTGTCCCACCATTGCCGATACCCAGGAGCTGGGCTGGGATTCGTCATCATTCATCATTCCCTCCCGATTCAGGGTTGCCCTTGAGCTTACATAAGCCTAAGCTTATGTAGACCCTAAAAGTTCCCCCTTGGGGAGAAGGGTCTGCCCTTGGTGCTTCTTCCTTCCTTAAACATGGGACCAGGCCTCCTCCGAGGGCTGGAAGGCTGACGCCCCATCATCTGTGTCAACAGGAAACATTTGATCTTCCCCGGGTCTGAAGCTGCTCACGGCGTTCAGAGTTCCCAAGGTGCAATGCTGATTCGTGGCCAAGAGTGAACTTTTCATGCTCCGTGAACTCTTCTACAGTCTTGTATCAGCCTGATAAGGTTTAGCTTAAGTACACTTTCCTTCACGAAGCTTTGACTGAAGGAGCGCCTCCCTTCAGGAGGGGTGACTGAATATGGATGTCTGGCAGATCCCATGCCCAGAAGTGTGGAAGGCAGCGGTCAGGGCTGCAGGTCCCTGAGTAAGAGGAGGGAGCCCCAGTGAGGAGAGAAAACAGGAGAAGGTCGTGTCAGCTGGGGATGAATGGCAGTTGCGTTTTCCGGTTTCACACATGCTTGTCTCTACCCTTCAGATAGATTATACATATACTCGAAGGCATATATGGGATGGCTTTATGTTTCTTCTTAAGTCCTATGCATTAGGGGGGCGCCTGGGTGGCTCAGTCAGTTAAGCGGCCGACTTCGGCTCAGGTCACGATTTCGCGGTCCGTGAGTTCGAGCCCCGCATCGGGCTCTATGCTGACGGCTCAGAGCCTGGAGCCTGTTTCAGATTCTGTGTCTCCCTCTGTCTGACCCTCCCCCGTTCCCCCGTTCATGCTCTGTCTCTCTCTATCTCAAAAATAAATAAACGTTAAATAAAAAAAAAAAAGTCCTATGCATTAGGGTCTAGGAAAGTATTGTCAGAGCACGTGAGAAGTCGTGCCCCTTGCTGACAGTTAGAGTTTGTGGGGTAGCGGAATGAGAGGTCTGGGTGCTTCTGGAGGCTGTGGTCCTAGATGACTACTGGAGACGGCGTGTTTTTGCCCTCCCCACCCCCACATCCATATGTCGCGAGCGAACCCCCAGTGTGATGATATTTGGAGGTGGGACCTTTGGGAGGTGATCAGGTCATGATGGTGGAGCCCCCATGAACGGGATGAGTGCCATCGTAAAAGAGCCCCAGACGGGTCCCTTGTCCCTTCTACCGCGTGAGCTCACAGCAGAAAGACGGCTGGCTGTGTGTGAGCCGGAAAGCGGGTCGTCGTCAGACATGGATTCTGCTGGTGCCTCGATCTGAGACTTCCCAGACTCCAGATCCGTGAGAAATAAATATTTCCTGTTTAGGCCACCCCGGTTTTGACGTTCCGTTGTGGCAGCCTGAACGGACTGAGACAATGGCTTCCGTGTGGACACCGGTAATGAGTGGCCCCTGTCCGGTGGGTCAGTTCTCATTCAGAGAATGTGCTTCGTAGACAGTGTCAAATATAAGAAGGGACATGAACAAATTAAAGTGTATGCAGAGAACGGAGATCTGCTGTCCTGTGTCATGTCCTGTGAGCAATAAGGGAGCAGAGAAGATGCCAGGGAGGCCTGTGTGTGTCGGGTAGGTGGGTGCGAATCACCGTCATTAAATATTTGCGGGAGCGTCGCGCGGAAGAAGGATTCATTTTGGCCCATGTGGCCTTGGGGGCAGTGGACAGAAGTTGCATTGAGGCAGTCTTCCGCTTGCCGCTGGTGCTGCTTAAAACTGCACCAGGCTATTTAGAAAGAGCCAGACTCCCCGGACGAGAGGCGGGCACGGCAGGGGCATCGTCGAGGAGCTTCCTTCTCTAGGTGGGGGATCCCACCAGATAATCTGCAACGTCTCTTCCAGTTGGGGGTTTCTGTAAATCTCTTGACGCTTCTGTCATTTTGCCATCCTTCCCTGGCTTCTGACAGAGGCCAGGCTGTGTGAAGACCTCAGAAGCTGAGAGGGTGGCTGACTGACACCCAGCCTTTGTCTTCATTATTTCAGTGTGTGGGATCCATTTGCCAAGAAAAAAAATGGGGAAAGTATTTTTAGCCAAGGCATTTGCTTTCATGGGACCCAATTTCCTAGAAAAACTCTGTTCCTCCCCTTTTATGCTAAACCTTATCATTCCGCAGGATTTTTACTCCTTGCGGTGCTATTTAGATTATTTACTTTTTTCATCTCTTAAGCCAGTTTGATTCCAGAAGGATTAAAACCCAGGTGTTAAATTTCACCCTGGAGAGACAGCATCCTATTGACTGCTACTGACAATACCCCCCTCCCGAGTGGGCAGCTGACTTCGGAGTGGGGTTCTCAGCCTTGCCTGAGATCTGGATTCACTTGGGAAGGTTCGAAACAATCCTCATACCCAGGCCATGTGCAGACTGGTTGGATCAGAAGCCCTGGGTGGGGCCAGGTGCCAAAGGTTTTTAAAGCTCCCAGGTGGTCCCATGTGCAGTCGAGTCTGAGAACCATGATTTAAGATACATTCTGGACTCCCCCCTGGATGACCTCTTGGCCTCTGTTCCGTTTTGGACCTTAAAGGGATTGAGAAAAGCAGCTTGCTGGTCCCACGCCTGCCATCTGTGTACTTTGGGGAAGTTCGGAGCCTCTCGATGGAGCCCCCTAAGAAGGTCAGTTCTATGTGTGTTGTGTCCTTGACCTGGTTCCTGGAAAGGAGCTCACTCGGGTGCTGTTAGCTATGATGATGACAGTGTTGATGGTGTTGGTGACGTTGGTGATGGTGATGACGACAGTGTTCATCATGGTATTCATGGTGATGACGGTGCTGATGATGGCGGCAATGACCACTGTGGTGTTGATGCCGGTGATGATGATGATGACCGTGTTGATGACAGTGACAATGCTGGTGACGGTGTTCAGGATGACAGTGCTGCTGCTGGTGACAGTGTGGATTGATGATGGCAGTGATGACAATGAGGTTGGTGATGCTGATGATGACAGTGATGATGGCGGTGTTCATGATGATGACAATGACATTGATGACGATGACAGTGACAATGCTGGTGACGGTGTTCAGGATGGCAGTGCTGCTGCTGGTGGCAGTGTGGATTGATGATGGCAGTGTGACAATGAGGTTGATGTTGGTGATGGTGATGATGACAGTGATGATGACAGTGTTCACGATGATGACAATGACATTGATGACGATGACAGTGACAATGCTGGTGACGGTGTTCAGGATGGCAGTGCTGCTGCTGGTGACAGTGTTGACGATGGCGATGATGATGGCGATGATGATGTTGGTGATGATGAGGACAGGGATGGTGATGACAGTGACGATGACAATGATGTTGATAATGGCAGTGATGGTGACGATGAGGATGAGGGTGACAGTGTTGATGGCATGATGATGATGATGGTGACACCCCTGATAAACACCAGTTGGGCATTTTCCCGTGTAGCTGTGTCCTCTGTGCCAGGTGTTTTGCACATGAACTTCATGTATTCCTCTAAGTACTCATAGGTGGTGGTTACTATTAATACCTCACCGTTTCCACATTACCAGTTCCATGGAGAATGATGACATTTGTGGAGCACACTGGAGTAAAAGTGTGACAACTGCAGGGGCCGGGGGTGATAAGCCTGGTCCCTGTTCCAGGAGCTATGAGCACAGAGGGGATCAATATCTCGGGCAACCCCCAGAATCCCACCTTAGGGCTGGGAAGCTCCGCCTTTTCCGCATCAGGATGGTGGCGGAGAAGAGTGCGAGGATTAATTGTTCTGTTGGTGTCTTCTGTACATGTCACTTCTCATTGGCAGGTGTTCACAAGGCATGTTTTTAATTCCTAAGGAATGTTCTAGGCTAAATGGTGTTCCCCCAAGTTCGTACATTGAAGTCCTAACCCCCCAGCACCTCAGAATATAACCATGTTTGGAGAGAAAGCATTTAAGGAGATAATTGAGTTAAAACGAGGCCTTCAGGGTGGGCATTAATCTCATATGACTAGTGTCCTTATGAGAAGAGGAAATTAGGACACGGACATGGAGAGAGGGAAGACCATGTGAGGACACGGTGAGAAGGGAGCCATCTACCAGCCAAGGAGAGGGACTTCAGAGGAAACCAATGCTGCCCACATCTTGTTCTCAGACCTCCAGCCTCCAGACACCGTGAGAACACATATTTCCATTGTTTGAGCCAGCCAGTCTGTTACCTTGTTCGGGTAGCCCACGTCAGCACATCAGGGACAGAGTCCTCTTTGCCATTTTCTGGAACCTGCCTTTAGACATTCCTTGGGTTTCTCCTGCCTCTAAAAGGGTGGTTCTCAAATTTTGGCAGACTTCAGAACACCCCGCGGTCTGCTCGGAGCAGATTATTGGGCCTCACCCCCAGAGGCTCCGATGTCCCAGGGGGAGCCTGGGAATTTACGTTTCTAGTACGTTCCAGGTGTCTTCGTCGGCTTGGGCTGCTGGGAAGTGCCGGGTCTGGAGGCTGGAGGTCCGAGATCTGGGTGCCAGTTTGGTCAGGGTCTCGTGAGAGCCCTCTTCCGGGTTATGGGTTGCTGATGTTGGGTTGTGTCCCCACCTGGCGGAATGGGAGGGGCCAGCTCTCTGGCCTTTTCTTACCAGGTCACTCATCCCATTCAGGAGAGCTCCACCCTCACGACCTAATTACCCCTCAAAGGCTCTGCTTCCAGATGCCATCACACTGGGGTCAGGGCTTCGACATGAGAATTCTGGGGGACACAGACTTTCACCTCATGACACCGGAGGATGTGGAGGCTGATGGTTTGGGGACTGTACTTTGGAAAGTGTCGTTCTCACAATCACAAACCGGTAGGTGGCCCCCGGCCGGCCCTCCAAGTGCCTTTTGGATACTTTGACTTTGGGACCGACTAGGGTCCATCTGTGTTCACCTGCCCGGGGCAGCTGGTGTTTCGACGCCTGCCCCTTTCTCTCCCTCTGACCCTGTCTTCAGGGTCTGAGGGTGCAGTAAACGCTTCATTTCTCACAGGTCTCTTCGTTGGCCAAGCAGAAGGGCATAATCTTTATCCAGTTTGGAGTCCCTCTGTCCATGTTTTTAGGGTTCCTCTCTGTCCTTGTCTCACAGACGCACGTAGATCCCTGGGGTTACGGAGGTGATGGAGAAGGCCAGCAGCTGTGTTCATAAAGCTACTGGAAAAAGGTCATGAACGCTGACCTTTGTGTTGAAGACCACGTGAGGACAGAGTGCTGAGTGGCTGCTTGGCACAGGGAGGAAAGAGAAGACTCAACAGAGCTACGTAGGGGCGTCTCACCTGGGGTGTGCCCGAGGAGCAGAGATTTTTCCCAGCAGAGAGGAGTGCGGGGCTCCTGAGACTGTGGCACATGCAAAGGCACGGGGAAAGGGTTGAGGAACAAAGGGTGGCTTCAAGCAGACGTTCTGTGGGTGGAGCATGGAGGGAGCCGAGGCAGGAGAGAGAGGTTGGTGCCGCCCCCGGGAACTGGGAGTTTGGGATGTATCTTCAGGAATGAGGACGCGTATCTCCTGCTGTTTCTGTAACAGATGACTACAGGCTCTGTGGCTTCAGACAACACACATTCATTCTCTTGTCAGTTGTCGAGGTCAGAAATCCAAAATGAGCCTCACGGGACTAAGGTCGATGTGTCGGCAGGGCTGTGTTCCTTCTGGAAGCTCCAAGGGAGACTCACATCTGCCCCTCGCCTCTGGCAGCTTCTAGAGTCTGCCGCCATTGCTCGGCTGCCGCATCGGCCTTTGATTCTCGGCTTTTATGGTCACCTGGCCCCTCTGATTGCTTCTCGTGTGTCTGTCTTATGAAGAACCTTGTTTTTAGTATTTCTTTATTACTATCATTTTATTCGTTTGTTTTTAAAGTTATTTTACTGTTTCTTAACTTTATTTTTGAGAGCTCAAGTGGGGGAGGGGCAGAGAGGGGAGGAGGCAGAGGATCTGAAGGGGGCTCTGCGCTGACAGCAGTGAGCCCCCAGGGTGGGGCTCGAACTCCCAAACTGTGAGATTATGACCTGAGCCAAAGCCAGATGCTCAACTGACTGAGCCACTCAGGCGCCCCTGTTACTGCCCTTATTTACGGCCTGGGGCCGCCCAGACCATCCAGAATGAGATCCCGGATCAAGATCCCTAACTTAACACCTGTAACGCTCACCGTTTTGCCAGGTAAGGTAACATTCGTAGGTTCTGGGGATCAGGACTGGACGCCTTTTGGGGGCCATTATTCGGCCTGCTGCAGGGCAGCTGAAGACTTGGAAGTCACCTCAATAAGTTGAGAGAAATCCAGTGTGGAAGCCCAGCTCTGCTGGTCCCCAAGGGCGCGTGACACTCAAATGGTGTCATTGGGGGTGGACAGGGGACGGGGGCTTGAATGGAGAGGAAAACAAATTGGAGCGAGTTGCGTGAATTCGGTAGCGGAGGCTCAGGGCGTAAGAAGCATTTAGGATGCCTCTCGGGTTTCCAGTGGTGTCATTAATCAAGAGGAGGACAAGTCCTTCTGTGCCTGGCTCACTTAGGACTCTCAGGAATCCTCCCCAGCATGCCTGCTAAGGTCCCCGGTGCGCCCCGGTGCGCCCTGCTGGTAGACGACACGCTGCCTGGTGCATCGGCCTTTACTTTACATTTTTTAGGTTGCAAGTTTTTTGAGCACCTTGCAAGGTGGCGGCTGCGTTGTAGGCTCTGATTTCTGTCTCGTCAGTTTCCTGTGTTTGTGTGTGTAGACTTTCGGGTGCACATGGGCAGCAGCTGAAGCCAGGAACCGTGAGATCCGCTGGTTGCTAGGACACCTTTCTCACTTTCCATACCTTCCAGTAACGACGATGGGAGCTGAGCTGTTAACCTTGATCTCCTTGGTTATGATTTTTTTTTTTTTAGTTTTCTCCCCTCCAGGAAGTCATGTATCTTCCAGGATGTCATGTAGTCTTTAAAATGGGTGTAAATAAACCTAATAGCTGAAAATGGCTTGGAAATCATTTGTCAAGGAGGGATAATTCAGCTGGAAATATTAGAAAGCAATTTTCAAGGCCACTTGCCTGGGTATTTCCAGAAACGTGCTCTCCCTTGAGATAATATTTCTTGCATCCGTTTCAGTAAATATCTGTTCATTTGCTGATGGATTTTGAAACGTTCTGTCGCCTGTGTTTTCTGGCTCTTCCTTAGCCTCCTTTATCCTGCTTATTCCTCACAGCCACAGAGAGTAGTAGATTCCTTTGTGTAAAAGCAAGAAATGGGATGTCGAAGGGGACTTTCCTTTTGCTTGGGAATTTCGGTTCCTGTCCCAAAGCTGAGAGCAATGAGAGAGGGTTTTCCATCGTGCAAGGATGGTGGGATTGGTCCACACCCTCAGCAGCTTCTCCTCTGTGTGGACGAGATGTGTTCGTGGAGGAGAGTTGGAGGGGAGGTGGGGTGCTTGCTTTTTCCTCAGTGGGAGTGACTCCCCCAAGTAAAGCAGACTCCACAGAGATTGGGGGTGCCTTCCAGAAGAGGAGTCTGGCGTCTCCTCTGGCTGGATGCTTGCCAAATCATAGCTCTCATGATGGGAGCAGAGTTTGATGAGAACGTTCCCGGAAGCCCTGGAGTGGGGAAGAAATTGACAGGAGTCCTCAGGAGCGGGGAGCAACTGCGGGGACACGGGGGCCCTGAAGGCAGGAAGCCAGGAGCAGGCAGGGCGGACCCCCTGCAATGTCTCCCCTGCCTCCAAGGCAAGCAGGTGCAAGTCTCCTGTGGCCTCTTGGAGGCCTGGGGGGGCGGTGGTGCTGGAAGGCAGGCCGGACGGGGAGGTCTGCTGTGGGGAGGCCCCGGGCACTGAGATGACCAAGGTCAGGTCCAGGGAGATTTCCAAGAGAGCGGGTTGCCACATCCGGGGGCCCTGTCCTGTGGAGGTCTTCACGGCACCAGCTGGGGGAACCCCTCAGATGTGCCCTGCAGGCGAGCCGACCTTGGATCGCCCGCCAGACCTCAGCAGCAAAGTCTTTGACAGACAGGTGTTTGCTTCTCTTGCTTTATCTAATCCATTCTCCCTTCACCTTCAAGGAGTCAGGAGGTGGGGTTGGAGGAGGAAGAAGCTTGGAGGACCAGCGGGTGGTCCCCCTGCCTGTGCAGGCCGTTGACCCGTGTTGGGGTGGGGGGGGGGGGCTGGGCGGAGGTGGGGGGGCCAAGCTGGGAACTGGATGTGGATGGAAGCGTTCAGGCTGCGCCTTTTAAATCTGAAAACGGAGTCGTAATTTCCTGACATGTTTTGTTCTTATAACTGAGAGTGACGGGAAGGCTGAAGAATCCGCCCGAGGTGATCACCGGGCAAGAAAGGGGGTGGGCGGAGCTTGGCTGGGGCAGTGACAGAAGAACCTGGAAGCCATTGCCTTTTCATCCCGCCGCCGAGTTCAGCCCATTCAACACCTTTGTGAAAAAGGCTGACTGGAGCACAGCGCGGGGCATCAACCCAGGATCGGTGATTTAATATATTCGGCGAACCGCGTGTCCTGATTGAACGGCTTTGGGGACTATGCGTGTGTGTTTGTGTAATCACATCGCTGCGTATAATGTCCAGCATACAGTAGGCACTTAGAGATGTGTCGCCCTGAGGGGCGCCTGGGTGGCTCAGTCAGTTCAGCGTCCAACTTCGGCTCAGGTCACGATCTCACAGCTTGTGAGTTCGAGCCCCGCGTCGGGCTCGGGGCTGACGGCTCGGAGCCTGGAGCCTGCTTCGGATTCTGTGTCTCCCCGTCTCTCTCTCTCTCTCTCTCTCTCTCTCTCTCTCTCTCTGCCCCTCCTCCGCTCACACTCTGTCTCTCTCTCTCAAAAAATAAACATTAAAAAAAAAAAAAAAAGAAATCTGTCTCCCTGCTTCCCCACACATCTAATACACGTGCTTTAACCTCATTTAATCCTCACGGCCATCTCGTGATCAGGTACCGTCAGTGCCATTCTCCAAAGAGGAAGCTGAAGCCCAGAGAGGTTAAGAAACTCACCTAAGGGTATACGGCAAACATGGAGGAGCAGGGACCGAGCCATTTTCTCTTTCTCTTTCGCCCCCTCCCTTTCCTTCTTCCTCTCCCCGTCTCCTCTGTCTCCGTTTTTGGTTTTTTTTTTTTATTACAGAATTTTCCAAACACACAAAGTAAAGAGGATAATATAATGGACCCGATACACGCTCACGCAGCTCCAGCTATTCTCAATTTATTGGCTGTGCTCCGAACCCCACGCTCTTCTGCCTTTTTTAGCAAATTTGTCTGAGGTGGTGGATGTTTGCTGAGCGGACGGATGAAAAGAAAAAAAAAAAATAGTGAGGAGTAATTTGCCTTTTGACACAGAACCGAAGAGCTTAGCTTCGGTTTAAGT